CTGGTTGAGTTTTCAGTCAGCTCAGGGAGCCCCGGTGCACTGCTCCTGGTGCAATGCTGGTGCATTGTAGGTGGTTGCTGGAGATTGTCAGTATTCATTCTAGGGCCCTGCACATATTGGATTTAGACTCAGTTTCCTCAGTTATTGGATGAAGTGAATTCTGTGTACTCTCAGCCTATCCCTACCTCCACCAAAACTGAGAACTCACACCTGCGGGACTTATCATGTGATTTTTTCATGTATGCTATTAAGATTCTGTTTGGAGATTTTTATACATTTCAAAATGATTATGTTTTTCTTGTCAAATGATGTTTTATAATATTTTTATTGCAGTTATAAAGCTTCCTTCTGTTAACATAAAGCTACAATGCACCTGGTACAATGACTTGAACAAAATGAGCATTACCTGTTAAACATATAGATACATTACGTAGAACACATCTGAGTTATGTAATCCATATGGCATCACTGAGTTTGGAGAGGTCCCCTACAAAAATGAATTAATCATTAGACTAGCTCCTCTTTATTAACCTGCTCTTGCTTTTTGTACATAGGGCAAACCTTTATTTTCTTAAGTAACACATTGTTTCTTGCTGAAAACTTTAACTGTCCAAAAGATTGAGAAGATAATTGGATTGAACTTCTACTAAAGAAGTGCAGATCCATGTATGGTATTTGTTCCCTGATTTATCATGTATTTGCTTATCAAATGTTTTTAATATTCTGTACTTTGATGTTCTGCTAGATTCTGTGTTAGAGAGGGAAAACAGGTGTGAAAAAGGATGGTCATGTCTTCAAGGAGCTTAGAGTGTAGCGGGAGGAACAAACATGGACAGAGATAATTATAACTCAACATGGAATTGCTATGAGGAAGGTTTGGACAATTATGCTATGCGTAGAGGCAAAGGAGATCAGAAACTCCTTCTAAGGAAGTACAGAAAGACTTATGGAGCAGGGGCAACTTCATCTGAGTCTTGAGGTTTGAGTAGCAGTTGGATAAAAGGCATTTTTAGCAGAAGGAAGAGCATGTGCAGATAAGAGGGATGGGAGAGAGCATGATTTACCGTGGGAAATGCACTGGCTTGAAATGCAATTTGTGTGTGGGGTAGGAGTGGGGGAGGTGAGGCTGGATGTGGAGGTATAGGAGATGCTATTGGTGCCCAGCGTCACCCTCCTTTGGCCTCATCTGCTGTAGATGAGGCTGTGTTGGACAGTTCACCCCCGACTCCCAAGCTCTCGGGGTGTCTCCCAGATTTTCAGCCTTAAGACTTTGCTTGAAGCCAGGGAACTGGCTCAGCCTCACCACCCTCCTTTGGCCTCATCTGCTGTAGATGAGGCTGTGTTGGACAGTTCACCCCCGACTCCCAAGCTCTCGTGGTGTCTCCCAGATTTTCAGCCTTAAGACTTTGCTTGAAGCCAGGGAACTGGCTCAGCCTCAAAGTAGGAGCTGAGTGGGAATTAACATCGTGGAGGTAGCCATACACTCAACCGATGGAAGAGAAGAGGTGGTGGCAAATGTCCTGCTTCCTGTTTCAGAGGGATACTACATCTGTGACCAGATCAGCAATGCACCCTTTATTGGCTTTTTCTTCTTTTCTGTTCACTTTCTCTGTCCTATCACTCCATCCTCTCAGGACACAAGTCCTTGTCTTAGGCTCTGCTTTCAGAGGAATCCAAATTAGTACAGTAGGCAGGGCATGAAGAGCCTTGTAATTCATGCTGAATACCTGGGTTTTATTCTGTAGGTGACGGGGAGCCATTGAGCTGGGGAGTGGCACCATCATTCCAGTGTGTAGAAGGCCACCTGGCGGCCATCTGGAGAACAGACTGGGGGCGGAGGGGGGGGCGGCCTCAAATCCATAAGGAGATGACAGCAAGGGAGGGGTCCATGAAGGTGGAGTGACCAGGACCGAGTCAAGAAATGCCTAGGAGAATCAAGAAGAATTAGTTTAACCAACATTGTGAAAATCAAGCATTTTTCTTGGAGTGCTCTTATAAAAATGTTATGCTTCTTTAAATGAAAACAACAACAAAAAATTCTACCTACTGTCATGATAAAATAGTTTTTGATAGTTCCTTTTGTTTGGGCAACAGCTCGAGTTCAATTTTCACCCATGATACTGCCACATACTTTAAGATTTTGCTGGTCTTTTGTAAAGTGTGATTAGATTTAAAACATAATGTTGCCAGGGTCTTATGGATATCATCTATTGCAAGAGCTAAATTATGGCTGTTCAGTTTAACTTCAGCACCATAAAATATTGCAGATAACTATCCTGATTGTTTTCGTGATTTCTAAAAAGAAAAATATTATCTAATTTTCTAAATAAGTTTATCAGTTAGGGTTCTCTAAAAAAGCAGAACTAGTTGAATATATATACACACATACATACATATATATACACACACATATATGTGTATATGTGTGTGTATGTGTATATATAAATTAATGTGTATATATATATGGAGATTTATTCTGAATAACTGGTTCAAGCAATTATGGAGGCCAAGAATTCCCATAATCTGCCATTTGCAAGCTGGAGACCCAGGTAAGCTGGTGGTGTTATTCAGTCCAAGTCCCAGAGCTTGAGAACCAGGGGAACTGATGGTGTAAATCCTAATCTGAGGGCTGGAGAAGATGACATGAAGTGTCCCAGCTCAAATATGCAGGCACAAAGAAAAAGGGGTGAATTCCTCCTTTCCCTGCCTTTTGTTTTATTGGGGCCCTCGACAAATTGGATGATGCCTGTCCACATTGGGGAGGGCAATCTACTTTGTGGAGTACACAGATTCAACTGCTGATCTCATCCAGAAACACTCTCACAGACACATCCAAAAACAATGTTTAATCTTGGCATCCTGTGTCCAGTCAAGTTGATATACATTAAAACCCAGGAAGATGGCTAATTTTATAACATCTTCTAATGTGCACGTGTAAGTATGCATGCTTGTAGTTGCCAATCTATCACTCAGCGAGTAATGTTTTAGCATTTGCTCTTATGATTTTATACTTTAAACCTTACTCTTCACTCTTCTGCTCATTAGCCAGTCCCTTATGTGCAAACTCCCATCCCGCCTAAGGGTAGGTTTTGAGTTTGAAAAATTCGAATACATTTCTTGAAGTTGGCCACAAAAGAAAATCCTGGATTCATGCAAAATTCGTTTAGCTTATCTTTTCCAAGGTGACCAAGAAAACATATCAGCAAATCAAAGCTGGAAGTGGAGAGAATGAGGCACCTTCTAGGTGATATTTCAGGCACAAGGTTTAATCTAGTATACTATAAATCAAAGAGTTTTTGAGTTGAGAAATTTAGAGAACTTCCAGATTATATTAGTATTTTCATAAATCCCAGCATGGTATCCTTTTTCTCCCCTAAGCTATATCCATTTTCTTTTACAGAAGATAAAAAAAGTGCTTTAGTCAGTAAAGTATAATGAGGCTAATTATGATAATTTGGAATGCAGTAAGACATATATTTTCAATGTAATTTTGCATTTTTCATATTTTGAGCAGCTGCTGACAGTACACCACAAATTAGTGCAATGTTGCTTAATGATGGTTCACTCCACATCTGAGAAGTTTAAAATTTGGATTTACTTGATATAGATTGTGGAAAACCACACCGGGAAATGAGGATGAATCCCAAAGCAATTACTGCCCCACAGATGTTTGGTCGGCTTGATGTGGCTACAAATGACTGGACTGATGGGATCTTTTCCACCCTTTGGAGAAAAACATTGCGAGCTAAGAAAGGTAGAAAATGAATTATGACTATTATTTTTGACATGTTCTTCTAAGTAAAATCCTTGGAGGCTGGATAGAATTAGTAGAACAACTGCATTCTCCATATCTTAGCCAAGACTAAGAAGTCATAAATCAGTATGATATTTGTGACTACTGAAATAAGAAAATTATGGATTTATTTATATCAAACCCTCCCCCCTTTTGAAGCAATATTTTTTGGAAAAATATTTCTGCATCCCTGTGATATCTTACAATAAGATAGATGGAAAAAGGTGTTAAGGAACAGCTTTTTGATAGTATCGAATAATGTGATTTTACCATAACTATTTTCACTGAATATTTTACATATGTTACTCTTATTTAAGTATAAATACAGCCTTTTTTTTTTTTGTCTTTTTGGTGACCAGCCGCACTGCGCTCAACCAGTGAGCGCACCGGCCATCCCTATATAGGATCTGAACCCGGAGCCTCAGTGCTACCAGCGCTGCACTCTCCTGAGTGAGCCACGGGGTCGGCCTTATAAGTACAGCCTATTTTTTAAAAAACTGGCTCCCCTCTAAAATCACAGGAGAAAATGGGCTTCTTTGGGGAGAAAATTGTGTATATCAAAACGCTACCAGCGCTGCACTCTCCTGAGTGAGCCACGGGGTCGGCCTTATAAGTACAGCCTATTTTTTAAAAAACTGCCTCCCCTCTAAAATCACAGGAGAAAATGGGCTTCTTTGGGGAGAAAATTGTGTATATCAAAAATAAGGTCTGTATTGAGCCAATTAATTACTCTGTTTAGACGGGCACCGGTGCTTGGTTGTTTAAGCAAACGTGTTAAGGGCTAGTGGTTCTGTCTGAAAAGTCTCTCACTTACGGACTCTGTAAATCGAACCCAGTGTTCCCAGAACATAAGCTCAGATGAAAGCGGTGACAGCAGCTCTCCTCTCATTGTGTTTTCTCACTCCTGAGTGAGTAGGAGAAAGACACAGTGAACACGACTGCAGGGAGAAAGAAAAGCACGGGACAGGGAGGAGATCCTGGGTTTACCTTCTGGGCCTACCCTTTGGGCGACCGTGTTCTACTGAAAAATGTTGAAGGTAGCACCATTGACGTTCTCATTGAAAGAAGGTAGATGATCCACCTCGCATCAATGATCAAAAGAGGAATGAAAATGCTTCATTTCTAAATTGTGTTTATATTACAAATTGTTGTTGTTTTACTGAAAAAAAAATCAAACTTTGTTTCTGGTTTATTCCAGTAGCCCTGTGTAAACACAGGCCCTATGACCAAAGGCTGCCTTGAAGAATAGGAGCTCAGAGAAGGTTGTTTTTTTTTTTTTTCTATGAAAAAGGCAACACATGCCTTTTCTTTCAAAGTGACTCTGGTGATTAGATCACCATTTTACTTGAATTGCGAATTGAATGGGCCTGATTAGGATTTTTGAAGCATTTTATTTGCAATGGAATATTCCACAGTTGTTGCACAGCAAAGAAAAATTAGAACCACAAACTTGGTCATGGTGATGGTAAGAGGAGACAGTAGATAAGAAATTAAGCAGAATGCTACTACTAAACCCAATACCTAAATTTACAATGGTATTCCTGTCGGGCATTCTACTGATATCTGTCATTTTCTACACCTCCAAGTATCTCCTTAAATGACTCCTGTCAGATTTTGTTCCCAGTGTCCCTCTGAAGTTAGACTATCAAGGATACTTGTGACCTCTGGCTTGTCAGATACAAATTGCCAGTTCGTCCTGCTCTCAGTAGTATCTGGCCCAGTTGATCACTTTCTTCTTGAATCTTTCCTTCACTTGGCTTCAGGGATCCTTCATCCTGCTGGCTCTCCTCCCACGTCTGCTTCCTTGATATGTCTGGAAGTGGGGCGAGCCAAAAAAGGAGACCACAGAAGAAGTCTAAGCATTGTAGTGCCCCTGTCTTCAGACCTCCTATTGCTCCCTCCACTTACTATCTAAGAGAAACTTACCCTGTCCCATGGTTTTATGTACCGTATCTGTGCTGATGGCTTCCATATTTTAACCTCCAGCCCCGACCTCTCCCTTGAGCTACCAACTCAACAACTCCCGGACATCTCAAACTTCCATAGCTCTGCCTGTCTTGCCAAGTCTGTCTTTCCAACTGCACTCATACACTTCTTCCCCTCCCTGCCTTCTTGCCAACCAGGTTCAACTTCTTATTGTTTCCGGGACACGATCACCTGTTTTAGTACATTTGAGCTGCTATAACAAAGTACCATAGACTAGGTGGTACTTTATTTCTCACAGTTTGGGAGCTGGATGTCTGATATCAGGGTGCCAGCATGTGTGGATTCTGCAGAGGGCCTTCTTCTGGGATGTACATAGCTGAGTTCTCACTGTGTTCACACATGGCATAAGGAGCAAGGGAGCTCTGCGGGGTCTCTTTTATAAGGGCACTAATCCCACTCATGAGGACTCCACCTTCATGACCGAATCACCTCCTAAAGCCCCCAGCTCCTAATACCATCACTTTGGAGGTCAGGATTTCAACACATGAATTTTGGGAGGTCATAAACTTCAGTCCATTGCATTACCCTAAGTTTGTACCTGCTTCAGGGTCTCTGCACTTTCCATTCCCACTGTTTGAAAAATTCTACGTCTAGGTCACTTCATTCTCCTCTTGGAATATTTCATTGACCATTTTACCTAAACCAATGCCCCATCCCCTAATCCTGCTTAATTTTTATCTTACATCTCTCTTTGCTTATTTGTCTGATTGTCATCTCTACCTCTTAGAACGTAAGCTCTTTGAAGGCAGCACATTGTCTTATTTACCACAACATCCCCACACCCTAGAACAGTGCTGATATATCAAAGGAGCTCTATGAATATTTGTGCAATGTACAAATGACTTTTTGATTTGATTTTAAGCCTTAAACAACTGCTATATAAAGAACATGAAAAGCCTCATGCAATCAAATAAGATAGTCATTTAGATCAAAGCTTTTTAAAAATATCAATAGAAATTGCACCAAATTATAGTACTTCTTCCAGCTTTATAGTTATGTATATTTGCATCTACATGTATGTATGCTTTTTTTCCTTTTTTGTGGGGGTACTTTAGGGGAACATATCTGGATAGTTCTTGATGGTCCAGTAGATGCCATCTGGATTGAAAATCTGAACTCCGTTTTGGATGATAACAAAACTCTAACACTTGCCAATGGTGATCGGATTCCCATGGCTCCAAACTGCAAGATAGTTTTCGAACCTCATAACATTGACAATGCTTCTCCTGCTACTGTCTCAAGAAATGGAATGGTTTTCATGAGTTCTTCTATCCTCGGCTGGAGTCCTATTCTTGAGGTATGATTGAATCCTTCTTTTGTATAACTAAAAAGGAAAACAGATCCTTTAGCACTCTTCTAGTGTGTGTGCCAATTTTTCTGCAGTTGGTGGTGCAATTGCGTTTTTATGCTAATGATTATGGAAGATTTTTGAATGCACTGGGACATTCAAACCCTGATGGCCCCTCATGGGTTTCTTCAGTGCTCTCCTCTAATCACTTCAGAACTGTGATTTGCATCTCATGGGTTGCAAAGTAATTGCCAGGCCTATGTGAACCAATAATCCCGCCAAACCATGTCTGAGGACTGAATAAGTAAAATTTAATTTGTTCACTGTGAGGATTCATTACACTTTTAAAAGGTACTCATTCGCATAAAGTTTGGGAACAATCATCTTAGAATATTAACTTGGAGACAATTTATTAAAATTGCATATAAGGAATTTTTATGAGATTCAGTAGTCATAATATTCATTTTAAGTTTGTGCTTGGAAATAGTATTTCAGATAATATCTCTTCAATTCATGATCAGGTGTAGTATTTTATTACCACCAATATATCCTAGGAAATATTGATCTGAATTTGATTGTAATTAAATGCCTTAAATTCTTAGATATTATACTCAATAAATATTGTAATGTAAGGCAGGATGCTTATTCTAGAAGCTATTATTAATATTATAATGTAAGGCAGATGCTTATTAGAGAAGCTTATTCAAAAATCTTTTTTGATGTAGTTGGTCAAATTTATTATTTTAATTTACATAAGTTTTTTGAAGATGATTTTGCTTGAAAATTTCATGATTTAAATAAAGTAGATGTTTATTTCATATTGCCATTATATTTTTCTACTTTTATTTCTATATGGGTGTATCCTCACTTTTATTGATGTCTTTCCAGAAATTACACAACTCTGGGTTACAAAAGGGTTTAGATTTGGTAAAGTATGGAGATGTGAAGAAGGAGAGGATTATTTACCAGAATAATACTACATATAATTGAATGTGTCACTAAAAATACTTCTAAGGTTTCATATTTTACAATTAAATTATCCATCCATTAAAGAGAAAAAAGAACAGGGGGGTCTCAACCCTTGCTTTGCAAATGTAATCACCAATGACAGTTCTTTAAAATACAGAAGTTTGGGTCACATCCCAATCCTACCAATTAGAATCTCTGGGGAGGAGACTCAGGACTTTTTTTTGAAAGCAGCACAATAGATTTTTTTCATATAGACAGGCTTAGTAGCCACAGGTACAGTAAACTTCATGTAAAAATATATTTGTGTGATTTTTTTCCCAAGATACTTCGATCTGACAAAGGTTTTTGAAAAATACTTTTATACTATGAGCTAATGAATATTTAGAGTTTTCTGTTTATAAAATAAGCTTCTATTATAGTCTGTCCATCTTGAGGCTGAATAAGACGTTTACATTAATCCTACACCTACGTAATAATATTTGTACACACTTTTAAATAAAGCAGTTTCTTCTTAGAAATGGTTGGGTAGAAGCCAAGACTCACAAAGAATCAGACTGGAAGAGTTTAGAGCACTGCTAGGCAGATCTGAGAGAGTTATTAGAGGGTGGATCCATTGAGAAGTTGTGCTGGTGGGAAACTCCAGTCTCAGGGAGTCAAGCTGGTTACCTGCCCTAGTGAATGTGGTTCTTTGGTTCAGTCAACTCAAAAGTGCTGTGTTATGCTTTTGTCGAGATGAAGTCATGGTAAATTCATGAATTAATAAATAATTCCGAATCAACATTTTCTTGCTTCTCTTCAGAGTCTCTAATTGTTTCTAGCAATATTGAGGTGGAGAATGAGCTGGTCTCTTGCCTTGAAGAGAATTTGCCTCACCTTCAGAAAATGTTGTGTGTTAAGTGTTATTTTGCCATGAATGACACACACTTTCTTAACATTAGGATCCCCTAATGACTAAGTTCTCCATTTTTTTGAATGTTTGCTGATATTTTTCTACACTGATTATTAATTTAATTAGAAGAAATAAAACAAAAAAACAAATTGTTGTAAATCTTTGTTTTTCATTAAAAAAAATCTGGGAATGGTTTTCCTTAGTTCATCTTTATTCTTTCCTTTTTTTCCCCTAAGTTATTTCTTGACTTATGTATATGCCTCCTATTTTCCCCTAGTACATTATCAAGAATTGAAGACTGTTTATCTTGGCTTTAAGCATATGTATAGAGTAGGAGCTGAGCCTGTGGACCCTGGAGCCGGACTCTTTTGGTTTGAGTCCTTGCGAACTACCAACTGTGGGATCCCGGGCAGGTCACTTACACTCCCTCAGCCTCAGTTTCCTCATCTGTAAAGAGGGATAATGATAGTTCCAACATCATAGAGTTGTTGTGAGGATTAAATGAATTATATATGAGAGTTTATAGCAAGGCTTGGCACAACATAAGTGCAGTATAATCATTAGATATTATTATTATCATGGTTAATTGATACTTTAAAAACTTTTGTCCAAAAATGGCCATTTTCCTGGATGGTAATGCACTAATCTGTGAACTAACAGAGTTTTCTTAAGAAACGCTCACCTCAAGAAGCTGAAATCCTTCGTCAGTTGTACGCTGAGTCTTTTCCGGACTTGTATCGCTTCAGTATTCAGAACTTAGAATACAAAATGGAGTTGCTGGAGGCCTTTGTAATCACGCAGAGCATTAACATGCTTCAAGGCCTGATCCCTCCGAAGGTAAACTGCTCTACTTCTCAGAGAATTTCTTTTATGAACGGGACCATACTGTGCAGAAAGTACAATATTTGAAATGAGATTCAGTTAGAGCTGTGGGGGAGGGGGAATGTTTTAAACATGAGCCCTGAATAAGTTGTGTTTTTTTCCATATCTTTTTTTCACAAAGCAAGCTGTATTAATCCGTTTCTGTTGCTCATAACAAAATACATGGAACTGAGTACTTTGTAAAAAAAAATTTATTTGCTTACAGTTTTGGAGGCTGGGAAATCTGTGGTCCAGGGAACACATCTAGTGAGGGTCTTGATGGTGGTGACAGTGATGGCAGGTTATCACATTGTAAAATGATGGAGGGAGGGAGGGAAGGAGGGAGGTCCTAATGGTTAACTTTCTTTAATACTTCACTCCATTCCAGCATCTACCTGGCTTCTATCCTCTATTACTATACCAGGAACCTGTTTTTGATTTCCTAGGGCTTGGGCACTCCCTGGAACAGGGCTTTTCAGACTTTATTGTGAACATTAATTACCTTGATAAAATGCAGTTCTGATTCAGGGTCATGCTTTCAGGTGCCTTATATCAACAAGGCCCTAGAACACTGGTGGCCTGTCTCCTCTAGCTTTCTCTCATCTTACTACTTCATGGAACTGCCCCACTAGCCCACTTGGACCTCTAGAATCTATCTAACTCTGTGACAGCACACAGAGAGAGCTTGGCAAGTGTGCCCAGCCCCATGCTGGAGGGAAAAGGGATGGTAGATGAGGAAAAGAGGGTATTACCAGCATAGACACTGTATTAGTCAGTTTTGTGTTGCTGTAACAAAGTACCTGAGACTGGGTAATTTATAAAGAACAGAGGTTTATTTGGCTTACGATTCTAGGACAGCTGCATCTGGCACAAGCCTCAGGCTGCTTCTACTCATGGTACAAAAGCGGCAGGCAGCCGGCGGGTACAAGCAGATCACCTGGCGAGAGGGAAGGAGGGAGGGAGGGAGGGAGGGAGAGAGAGAGAGAGAGAGAGAGAGAGAGAGAGAGACTCTTCTCTCTCTTCTTTTAAAGCCTTCAGAACCATGACCCTGATGACCATTTTTAACCCATTCACTAGGCAGGGTCCTGCAATCCAACCACCTCTTCAAGGCTCCACCATTCAATTACCAGGATAGGATTTCCCACCCTCAGCAGTTACAGTGGGGATTAAGCTTCAAATACATGAAATTTGGGGGACAGAATTCAATCAATCCACAGCACAAGCCATGGATTTGGAATTTAGTTGCTGGTTCACAAAGACGTCTCATAGTGTCCCTAATTTATTTTTAAAGCCAGCTGGGTATTCCTAGAGATCAGTTCCTCATTTGGTCCCCAGTTTTATTCATCCTGTCCCTGGTTCTTGTCTTGGGGGAAACTACTATCCTTTTCTGTGTGTACTGTTTTCATTGACACCCTAAAGCAAAGTTTTGGTTAGAGAATCAAGTAGTGGAAAAAGAGAAGTTTCTTTGGTCCCCAGGAGCAAGGCGGGGAGGTGAGTCCGGAGCACCTGGCGAGGCTGTACGTCTTCGCGCTGCTGTGGAGCGTCGGGGCGGTGCTGGAGCCCGACGGCCGGCGCAGGCTGGAGCTGTGGCTGCGCGCTCGGCCCGCGGCGCTGCACCTGCACCTGCACCTGCCACCGGAGGGCCCGGGCGACACCGTGTACGACTACTACGTGACGCCCGATGGTGAGGACTCTCCATTCCATGCAGACACTGCAGATGGGGGCAGTTTCTTCCACATGGCCAATGTTCTCACCAAGTATTTACTTCTAAGTGGTAATGAAAACGGGTGGCTGTAAAATTAAAACGGAAATTTTCATGTGTAAAGAAAGCTAATTGTTTCTTTTTAAAAAATTCACTTTGATGTGTCCTGAATGCACGCTTTCCCCTTGTTACACATGCTATGCATTGAACTTTTAGTGAATTAAGAACAATTAAAAAAATCCTAAATCAGATTCATTTAAGCCATTCATTCGATATAATCAGCAATTTACATAAAAATGACAAAAGTTTAAAGTATATTTTTACCAAATATGTGTGTATGTATCTATAACTATATTTCTTTTTCTCTATCTCTGTCTATATACTTTAAGGTTATTTATATGTGCATGCCTATATATACAAAGTATGTATGTACATATACATGAAATATGTATAAACATTTATATATTATTTTTAGGTATGTGGCATCCTAGGGTCTTTTACCTAAAGCTTGTGAACTTAGACATTTAAAAATGATTAAGATTTTGGGTACATGATACTTTCACTCTGTTTTGTATTTTTATACACTTATATTATTGAAAATCTACATATTTAATAATCAATTCCAAGATGCTTTCTAATATTTCTTAATATTACCACGTTGCTATAGTTCCTTGGGAAATTCTGACTCAGTTTACATACTCGTATACTTAGGTCTCTAATTCAATGATCTTTATTTTATGAAGAGCATTTAGAAGGTGCCCTCATAAAATTTCAAGGATGTCTGCTCATCACAGTCAGGAGTTAAATTATTGATAGGGAGATGCAAATAGTCTCTGTTCCCCTCAGGTAAATGGACGCACTGGAGCACCTGTACCCAGGAATATGTGTATCCTTCTGATACCACCCCAGAATATGGCTCTATCCTGGTGCCAAATGTTGACAACGTGAGGACTGACTTTCTAATTAAAACCATTGCTAAACAGGGCAAGGTATGGCTTTTTAACTTTTATTTAAAATGGCATATTTTAAAATGTCACTTGAAAAGATGAAACACTCTGCATTTATTTTAGAATGTTTTACGTTTCTGTTTAGAATAAATAGAAATATTACCTAAATTAGCAATTACTTCTTTTATTATTTCCAAATAACAACATTGGAGTTGAATAGTTGTAATTCATAATTGTCAGTATTTCTCATGTATTAGTTGAGAGAAAGTGAATTTTGACTCGTTTTTCTAGAGAAGTCCTTCCCTTTTGATCACTGACCTAGTTTCCCAGGGCTGCCATAACTAAATATCACACAGCCTGAGTGGCTTAAACCACAGTCATTTCTTTTCTGACAGTTCTCGAGGCTGAAAGTCCAGGATCAAGGTGTCAACAGGTTTGGTTTCTCCTGAGGCTTCTCCCCTCGGATTTCAGATGGCCACCTTCTCACTGTGTCCTCCTATGGCCGTTTTCTGTGTGTGTGTGTGTGTGTGTGTGTGTGTGTGTGTGTGTGCATCCCTGGTGTTTCCTTGTGTATCCAAATTTCCTTTTCTTGTAAGGACACCAGTTAGTTTGAATTAGAGCCCATCCTAAGGGGCTTATTTTACCTTAGTCGCTTCTTTAAAGACCTTTTCTCCAGATACAGTCACATTCTGAGGTGCTGGGGCTTAAGGCTTCAATATGTAAATTTGGGGGTGACACAATTCAACCCATAACAATAACTTTATTTCTCAGATTTCTTTTTCAACTCCTCTATTTTAGGCTGTGCTGTTAATTGGTGAACAAGGAACAGCCAAAACGGTCATAATCAAAGGATTTATGTCAAAATATGATCCTGAAAGTCACATGATCAAGAGTCTGAACTTTTCTTCAGCAACCACCCCCCTGATGTTTCAGGTACTGGCTCTTTGGTATTGCTCATTAAGCCCAAATTCGTGATAAACTTTGGAGGCTTAGATCTTTTATTATGCCTATGCCCACCGAACTTTCATGGCCGTGATAAATCCCCTACATATGTCTGCCATTATCTCTGTTATTCAAAGGCAGTAATCTCTCTTTAGTTAGATTGTAATATATACTCTTAATTTATGGAGAAATAAAAAGCTTATATAAGGTGCTGCAGGCCTCAATACTTGCATTAGTCAGGGTTTTCTAGAGAGACAGAAGCAATAAGATATGTATGTAAGTATATGAGAGGGGATTTATTAGGAGAATTGACTCACACACTAGTGAAGGCTGAGGGGTCCCACGACAGGCTGTCTGCATACTGGGTGCTGGTAGCATGGCTCAGTCAGAGTCTGACCACGCAGCCCGCAGTGTCGTTGGTGTAAGTCCTGGAACCCCAAAGCTGACGAGTCTTGAATTCTGATGTTCACGGACAGGAGGATGGATAGAGAGAGCTGGGATACACCTTTTTTCCCCGTGTTTGTTCTCTCCAGGCCCCCAGCGGATTGTATGCTTCCTGCCTGTGTTGAGGGAAGACTTTTCCCACCCAGTCCACTCAGGCCCACATGCTATTGTCTTCTGGAAACACCCTTGTGGACACACCTAAAAAGATAGCTTTACCAGGTTTCTCAGCATTCCTTCATCTAATCAAGCAGACACCTAGAATTAACCAGCACAATATTGTTTAAAATATCTATGTAAAAAATGCTGTGAACATGCAAAATCCAACATTTGAAAGAAATATCATTTGTACTTCCACCTCAACATACTATCTCTTCCCAGTGGCTGCTTTTCTGTGGGTGTTACTATTATTCTAGACTTTAAGCAAAGCACTTTGGAGTCATCTTAGATGGGCTCTCTTGAATCAAAGGCTGTCAGTGTGTCTAAAGAAATGCTTTTCACATCTCTTCCTTTTTTTCATGCTCTCTGTTCACTTCTGTGTCATTCACTTCTTCATGATTCCACAGCAGGGCATCATTGTGGAAGAATTGCAGCTATTCTTGGTTCGTGTCTAATTCTCTTCCAGTCTAGATTTTATTTCTTTCCAATCTCTGTTTCCTAAAATTCCACTTTCATCTTGTTGTTCTCTGACTTAACATTCCACCATGGCTCCCACGATCAATTGCAACAAGGTGTAAAATCTTAGAATGTTGGCATATGAAATATTTCACCTTATCATATTGTAGAGGAATGGCATTTTTT